CTAACAGAAATAAAAGAAAGTAAAGACTTTAACTAGATCCTTAACTGATGTAACTTGGTATAGCTCCACTGAAGCTGTTGAAACTATGCTGATATACAGCAGCTAAATATTTTGCCCTGAATTTCTGGCACTAAAGCCAAATGAAATGATTCTGTAGATATGCAGGAAGCTGATCTGTTAAGAAAGGTGGTGTCATTTTACATAGTCTGATGTTAGACTTGAAAGAGAGTTTATGTCTTGAGAACAATGTGTTCTGTTTCAGGCTTTTTTTTAATATAACCAAACTGAAGAGTCCTCAGGAAGGAACAACGACAGTAGTAGGAGTGGAAAAATAACTCCCACGTTTTAAGGAGAAGATCAACAGAAAAAAACTGAATAGGAAGTGACTACATTTGTAAACTGAATGTGATGTCTGCCTGACTGCCCCCTCTCCAATCTGCCATGTGCCATGCGCAGAGGCTGCCCGTGCCACTTGTGGCACCCATGAAACAGGTTGGCCATCCTTGCTCCAGACCATGAAGTACTTAGGTACTCTATGGAAAGTACTCCAGCCTACTGAATGGCAGCAGTTTGTGTCCCTTGTACATTCTGACCATGAAGAAAATGATGACAAGACCATTTAGCCAACAGAACCCAAACAGAGAAAACCTTATGCAGCATAACATGCTAGATTTGATGATGTAGGTCTTGATGATGCCTATGTGTTATGTTCCACTGGGGTCAGGGAAGGAATTATTCCTAAAGTTAACCTCCAATCCCCTGAAAAAACAAGCAAACAAAAAACCACCTTCACATTTGGAACAGTGGCTTTGTAAACATGAATAATAGTAATAGCCAGGCATCCGGGTTTTCTGTTTTCTGTGGAAAAATGCATATTTTCTCAAAATTGGGAAACCTTGGGTTTTCCCTTGCAGGCTGGCAGAGTTTTAGCCTGCAAGGGGTGGGGGGAGTAGGGGGCACCATGTGCATGTGTGTGCACACACATGCATGTAGCAGCCAGACAGTGTGGTGGAGAGCAGCTCCTACAGCTCCCTGCAGGTAAGCCTATGGGAGTGGGAGGTGGGGGAGGGGAGCACAAGTGATGCGTCAGAGGTGGAGGGGCACAGATAATGTGCCCCCCCAGATTTCTGTGCCCACGGTGAGGCATGGGGCTGCAATGAGAAGCGGAAGGGGAGGGAGCGCTGTGCCGCCATGGCCACCAAGGTGAAGTGCCCCCGCCCACCCAGCAGCAGTCAGGTGCACAACTCCATGCTGCTGCCCCTGTTTCCTTCCCCACAGTGTTGCTTGTGTCCACACCCCGCCTTCCCTGCACACCCACCCCCTTCTTCACATACTGGGGGCTGGGGGGGAAATGGGGTTGGGAGTGAGGGGCACTAGCAGGGCTGGGGGAGCTGTGGGTCGGGAGTGAGGGGCACCAGCATGGGCAATGGCAGGGCACCCATATATCAGGGTTGCTCAGAACCACAAAGCAGCGGGTGGGACAGCTGCAGCTGGACTCGTGTCCTGATGAATGAAAGGGGCAGGGAGAGCTCTGATTTTTCCATGATCAAAAATCCAAAATCAAACACCAAAATATACAGGTATTTAGAATTTTATTATAATGATTGAGGCACTGGTAGGCTTCCAAATTGCTTTAAAATTGTAAATATATCAATAAAGCATAGTGTTAAACTGATACCTATATATACCTATATAGGGGTGTATGTTTGTGTGTGTGTAGTGGCATTTCATTTCGTCCTAATTGTGGAAAAATGCAGATTTTGCATTTTTATCAGAGAACTTGGGGTTTTTTATTGGAGAATTTGGGATTTTTTTAAACAGAGAAAACCAGGATCCTTGGTCATAACACTGAAACCAGGAACTTTAATAGATTAATCATTCCCTTTTAACTTCTCTCCATTTAATTTTATAATTTGAAATGATCATAGATTATGGATTTGGGGCTGTTTCCTTTTGCCGTTCAGATTAGCTGAACATGACATCTAGATAATTTAAACCTCACTATCTTCAGTTGAATGAAACTTAATGGTTCAAACTGTTGGTGCAGTTTATTTCACAAGCACAAACTTGTACATGCTGACGTGTCATGAGGCTGTGACACAGAAGTCATACCTTTGTATATCATCATTATATCACAGGAAAAAATATCAAGTCTCTACACTTTTCACAGGCAACAAAAGCAATTTCAAGACCCATGAAATTTCACATCGCTTACACACGTACCTTAGTAAAATTGGTGTGGTTCTAAACTTATCCAAATAGATGATAAACCTGAAGATAATGAATACATCCCCTAGAATAAAAAAGGTTGAAAAATATTTCACAAAATTGAAATAGCAATTTAAAATAGGAATATGGGGCAATCCTTTAGGAAACAGGATTTTATTATTTGTGTAGTATTTTTGGTATACAGGATACTGTACAATAGATCAGTGTTTCTTAGCTGTTTCAGGTTGGCAAGCCCTTACTCAAAAGTGAAAAATCTTCATGACCTCCTGAAACATATGATAAAAGCAAAAGGTTTATAACATTTATAACAATGATAATTCTTCTGATGAATACTTCTTGCTTTGAATGGTAAAGGTGTGCAAGGAGTAGGGGAACAACATACTGCTTACTTCTAATGCATAACAGAATTTTCAATACCTTCTGATCACTTTTGTAGGCACTGCAACCCACCACCTGAGAAAACACTGCAAAAGATCATGGTTTTGCAACCAGGTGGTGAAACTACTTTCCAGACCAGTCACCTTGATCCAGCCTAAATGAGAGCAGCATGTTATACGGAAAAAGTTTAGAGAACTATGTATATAGATGAAGTGTCTGGTACAGTTACCAGATCCTGGATCTGAGGATCTTACAATCCAAAAGGCCTAGCTAGTACAACACAAAATGTGAGTGCTTCTCAGTCTGATTACCTCAGGAAAAGGGGTTCTTTAGAAGTTTTATTGGAGAGGGAATGAGCTTCACATTCATTAGATGGAAAACTATTCTGGGTGGCACAGTGCCATAGAAACCTCAGTCAAAAATGGGCAAAACAGAAAAGATTTGTTGAAAGGCAATCTTGTGGAGGATATGAGGGCATAACATCTTGGAAGATAGTACAAATGCTTACATTTAACAAGACAGAAGCTGACAGGGGAGGATCTGGGGGAGAGCATTGGTGCACTTGCACCCCACTTTGATTACTGCTCCAGCCAAAGTTTAAAACCACCTGCCTGGCAGTGGCAGCAGCATTTCTAGTCAGGCAGCGCTGAGGGAGTCAATTGACTTCATGGCGCATTATAATCTACCGGATCCTTTCTAAGCTCTTCAATCCACAGATGTTACCAGCCCTCTTCTTTTTAATGGTCTTCATGTTCCACCAATCAAGCTCTCCTTTGTTCTGCAATTCTGTTCTTTCCACAGCCCTGCAGATTGTATTCAACTCACTCCATATCCAATTAAGATATATTTGTTTTTGGTTCTAATTGAAATGGAATCATACAGCCTTAGACCCCTAGTGGCTTAATAATGCTTGTAGTCTATTTCTAACTGGAGAAAAATTGTGTTATATGTGATGATGCACCTTGCCATCTGCACCCCCCTTTTCAAAATCCTAGAGCTTGCCATGGAAGCTGCCATAAGACATGCAGCAAAGAGGAAAGAGGGTGAGGTGAGCAACAGATGCCCAGAAAATTTCACACACGATAATCCATTTCTCTTCAGCTGTTGGAAGTGATCGAAGCCGTCCCCTGTGGCTGTATCAGCCACTTGGGGTTCAGCTCCAGCAGGCCTTTTGATGATATGCTATTCCAGAACGTGGGCCAAAGCCAATGGAGTAGATGTAGAAGCCCCTGCTTGAGGAGGATGGCCACTAAGGGCATGTCCGTGACCACTTGGGACAACCAAGACAAAACAGGGATGGGGGTGAGGGTCACAGGTTCAAAATGAGCGCAGCTAGTGGGGGACATGGAGCAGAGCACACCAGACAGTGCCCACAGGCCCCTGAACCAGTCGAAGGAGCTAGTGATCACTGCCTGGAGAACAGAGGGACGGGAAAGCAAGGTGATACTTCCCTTCTATGCAGTGCTGGTCAGGCTACAGCTGGAGTACTGCATCCAGTTCTGGACACCGCACTTCAAGAGCGATGCAGATAACCTTGAGAGGGTCCAGAGGGCCACTTGTATGGTTAGGGGCCTGCAGGTAAGATCCTATGAGAGATTGTGGGACCTGAATCTCTTCAGCCTCCACAAGAGGCAGCTGAGAGGGGATCTTGTGGATGCCTAGAAGCTCATTGGGAGGGGCAGCAAGGAATAAGGGATACTCAGTTTGCCAGGGCACCCCTTGGGGTTACTAGGAACAACAGCCACAAACTGATGGGGAGCAGATTTAATTAGACATTAGGAAACAATTCTTTATGGTGAGGGTTGCCAAAATCTGGAATGGGCTCCCAAGGGAGGTGGTGCTTCACCAAGAGCTTGGGGGTCTTGAAGAGGAGGCTGCACAAGCACCTGGCAGGGGTTGTCTGACTCCCAAGCTCTTTGCTGCCCAGGGTGGGGGTCAGACTCCATGATCTCCCAAGGCCCCCTCCGACCCTACGTCTATGAAAGTGGCCCTGCAGTCCCGGGGTCCAGCCTCCCTCCACAGCCTCCAGCCTGGTCAGGTGTAGTGTGGCCAGTGCCGCGTGGCCCAGGAGGGCCCGGGGATGGGGAGTGCATAAAGGCGCTGGGTGCGGGCAGCCAGGAGGGGTTGCAGGGCGACAGACACCCTCCCACAAGGCGCCGGGCCGAGGGAACCGCACCACACCGCACCGCACCGCACAACACGCCCCACCCATGCAAGGCCCTGCGCGGGGACACGGCCTCCTCGCGCCCGGGGAGGACAGCCCTGCCCCGCCCCGCCCCTGCCTTCCCAAGATGGCGCCGGCCCCGCCCCCGGGACTGGCCGGGCGGGGCCTGCAGCCAGTCCCGGAGTGGGAGCCCGGCGGGGCGGGGCCGGCAGCCCGAGCGGAGCGGGGAGAGGAGCGGCGCGGTAGGACAGGCCGGGTCGGGCCGGGTGAGTGCGGCCGCTCGCGCAGGACAAACTTTGGCTGGAGGCGCCGTCCCTGCGCGGGCTCCGCGGCCGTGTTGGGAGCCCGCGGGACTGGGACTGGGACTGGGGCCGGGGCCGGGGCCGCCTCCGCCGGGCCCTGCGCCCCATGACCAGGCAGCCGAGGCTCAGGCCCCGGACCGCCCCGCCACGCCCCGGGGAGCAGCTTGGGAGGAAAAGACTCCTCTCCCTCCCGGCTTTCGGGAAGCCCCGCTCGGTCCCTCGCTTTCCCCTTCTGGTCCCGGGCCCGGCAGCGGCGATGGGGAGCCGTGGCCTGCAGCTGTCTGTGGCCAGCCCCCGGCCTTACTGAGCAGCCCGGTTGCTGACTCCGCGTCCCCGCTTTGTGCGGTCTGTAGCCCGGGACAGGCCGGGCTGGAGGAGTCGTAGCAGGAGCAAACTCCTCGTCGCTGGGGTGGGTCAGGCCGGGCCGAGCGCGGCCCGGAGGTGGCGGAGCCCAGCACTGCCCGGGCGGGGGCGGGAAGCGCCTTCACCCTTGATCGGACTGAACTGATGCAGCTGGGAACGGGAGAGTGACATTTCCAACACACCGAAGTAACATGGGGTTTAGAGCATGGCACAGCTTGCCACTTACTCCTTGCTTCCGACTGAGAGAAGAAAATCCAGTAGTAGCTAAACTTTCAGGTCACTTGGAGAGGTTTCTCGGGCATTAATAGAGTTATTTTTAGGAATCTGGAGGCTTTCTTCCTACAGTAGAGGGTGAGCATTGTGTTGGTGCCTGGCTTCGCTGTATGAGCTCTGTAGTGCTTGCCTGTGTCAGTAGTATGAGCGAGTGGCATCTAGCTCTGAATTAAGCCTTTAAAATAAAATAAGCAATTAAAACTGTTTAATCTAAATATTACACTTTAATAATCAAGAAGCTGTTAAGGAGATTAGTGCAAAGTGAGAGTCTTGTTTCCACTGTAATAGCTCACTTTACACTCCAGCTCAACTCATTTTCCAGGTGTCTAAGGTGTTTCAAGCAGTACAAATATTGGCTCTAAATATCATTCAGAGTTAAGTCCATGGTGACTCTGAAACCCTATCATCTTTTTTGGCCCCAGATTCCTGGCTCTTGCATGCAAAATATACCATGGGGCTTTTGGAAGCTTTGAGGAGGTTGCTGCTGTATATGAAAGTAGATGGATGGAGTTGTTTGAATTATAAATGTAATGCTGATGTGTGGAGGCTTGAGGCAGGAGTGGAAGCTTCTGCTGCTGCTTCTATCATGTCATTCAGAGTTAAATAGATGAGTATCCTTTTTTGTAAAGATGTACCTAACAGTCTGAAATTAGAGGGGAAACTCATTCTGTGAAGAGGGATTAATTTTGTTTTTTAAATTACAAGCTGTGACTGGGGCATAAATTTAGGGCTTGCTACTCTCTTCTGCTTTTTTCAGCCTGCTCCAACTTCCAGATTCCCAGCTGTGTATTAACTAATTCTGTTGATAATCACTTTAACGGTTATATTCAGATGTTTTGGTAGGCCTTTAATGAAGGTGAAAAGTGCATAGGATTTCATTCTTTTGTATCAGTCTTGTCTGTACTGTAGTTGTGGCATCTCAACACTACAGTGGAGTTCTGCTATAACTACCTTCAAACTAGTTTGGGTAACGGCAAGTTTTCTCATCAGAGTAAATTGGACAACAGTTTGGGTGCCTTCACTGAAGCCAGAATTGTTTTGGGCTGTGCTTATGGTAGAGTATGCGAAACAGGCTCTTTTATATACTCCGGTCACAATTATCTTCACAGCTGTGAGGGCTAGATAATCAAAGTTGAAATACAGCATGTAGATAATACAGGGATGATTCGACTATGTTGAAGAAAATATGCCTGTTGACTAAAATGTTTGAAATGCTGTGTAATTGTAATGCTGACACTTGGTCAAATACATTAACTGGGCTCTCTGTATTAGGGTAATGCTGAGTTAGGAAAACCGAATGGGCTACTGGTATGTGTCAGTGAAGACTAGTAAAGAAACTCCAGGGTTGACTTCAGCCAGACATGTTTGCTTACATCTAAAATATATTCTCTGAAAGATGTCTTGCTTGTTGTGCGAAAGAAAAGAACCAAAAATAAAAGCTGAGCAGTACTCTAAATTTTGTTCTACAGCAATGGGCTAGCTAGTTTTTAATTGACTTCAGTATATTTAATATTCAAGTTTTATTTTAGTTCACATGAGTTGTAATACCAGTTGTAATTTCCAGATACGGCATTCATGTGTGTGCTGGTAAATTTAATGATGTAACTTAATTTTTAAAATGTAATATACATTTTTGTTTGAAAAGGTAATTGTGCAAAATATGTTTTTAAAAGGTAATCATAAGTTTTAAAAAGCTTGTCCTTCCCTAATCAAATATAAAGTTGCTTTTGTTTCAAGTGACTTAGTTCACTCCCACCACTACAAAAATAAGTGCTGGAGTGGGTAGAAAAACTTAGCTGTAGACATGTATGGAAGAGCATGTTTATAAAAGCATTAAAATACTCTTCAGTGTGGTAAAACAAGTGATGACAGCTGCTGCAGCAAGTTGAGTCCTGCAGATTGCTAATTTGAGAAGTTCTGCTGAAGGAAGTGGGGCTGCTTGTGTGAATAAGACTTGCTTTACACTTTACAGACAGTCATGAATTATGTTGCTGCGTACTTATTTTGGGTCTTAATTTTTTTTAAAGTTAGGTCAGAGTTCATAAAGTTACTACAGTATAAATGCCTTGGATCTTATGGTGTGTCTTTGCATACATACTACTGTAGGTAAAACAAACAAACAAACAAAAAAACCAACTTGATAGGTAACTTGAGAATTTTAAAAATTATTCTTGAAGTTCAAATATTTAATTTTATAGGATTGTTAGTCACTTGCTTCAATTACTGTTTTCTTTGTTCTAAATAATAAGCCAGGCAGGTTTATTTATCGTATATGCAGTTCAAAGTACTTATGCATTTTGTATAAATTAATTAAACAGTGAAATTTGTGGACTTTGAATACTGGGACTTTTTTTTTCCCTTAAATATAGTAACCCTAGGAGGAAAGAGAAAATTTACTGGAATATTGACTTTTAGTTCCTTAAAATTTTGTATTAATTTGGATAAGTGTTCTTGTAGGACAGGGGCAGGCAGTTATTTTGGGCGGAGGGCCACTTACTGAGTTTTGGCAAGCCATGGAGGGCCACATGATAAGCAGCCAGGGGCAGATAAATATTAATTTTCTAAATTTTTTGGGGGCCCCACAGGCTGGATAGAATGGCCTGGAGGGCTGCATTTTGCCCCACCCCTGTTGTAGGATGTAAGGGTGGAAAGAGCTGCCAAATCATTTAGTCTAACTTTTTTTTTTATGATAGGTCGCTTAAATTTTTGCTTTTTTGTGGTCTTAGATTGTCTTATGACTAAATATAGTTGGTCAAAATTTGTATGGCATCTTATGTTCTTCAGTAAGGGTAGGTCTTCTACATCATCCTTCTTGATGTGTATGTACTACTGCCATTAATGTAAATTGCATACACATGTTAAAGGGATGACACTACCTTAACTCTCCATCTTGAAAAGTTTTATAAAGGAACCTTCTATAACAGAGGAAGGACTGTGAAACCTCTTTTACAGTTAATTGCATAAAAAGGAAGGTTAAAACATACCTGTAACTCTCCTGATTTCTTGATGTTGTAATATGAGACACTAAACTTCCAGTTTTTTCCCAAGCTTCTCAGTGTGTCAGTCATAGAAGCAGGACAAACCCCACTGTGTGGCTGTGGGACATCACTCTTTAGTGTTATGTAGTATTCAAAAGCCACATCTAGGAATAGGACTTTGAACACTGTAAAAGTGGATAAAATCTGGTTCCTGCTTCATTGTCTTTAAAACACAGCAAATGACTGTAACAAACAATAGCAGGGATGCAGGGAAGTGCATGAGGGTGCTAATAATAATTGCAGGGTCTTCGGAACACTTGATTTTATTTTTTTGTCCTTGATCTGGCTCTCAAATTATGGGCTGCCTTTCCAGGAGTTAGGTGATGATTACCAAGTTCTTTATTAAGGGCCCAGGCAGGATCTATTGACAGCATCATTGTTAGAGCTGCTTCTTAAGGTCTTGTAGACGGCTGTAGTAATTTTGGGTGTGTGATGAAAGGACTGGAAGGCCCAGAAGTAATTTGATAGGCACTTCGCTATACCTGATGATTTTGAGCCTGAGAGAGAGAGAGCAGTGTAGCAGTCAGGACTGTTTTTAAAATATTGTGGGAAGTCCTCATAATTAGGTGCTTTGTGGTTTGTGGTTATGGTGCTTGGACTTCAGCCATTTCAGTGTACTTGAAGAGTTTGGTGGTCTTGATGAACGCAGTCCAAGTGCAAAATCAGAGTGTGTAGTATGATACTGGTCAGATTGCTAGCTATAAATGCCAAGTTGGGAGTGAGTCACTGCTAAAGCCTTCATTTTACACTTGGAAAGTTGCTCCCTCCCCCTCTCCCCCTTCCACTAGTTCAGTTGCATTGGTAGGGCTCATGGGAACCCTACTGTAGGTGTGGCTCTTAAGGCAGAACATGTTCTTGTTACCATTTCAAGTGACTTGTCTGTTTCCTTAACTAAAATGTTGGTAAATTTGCCAGTTTTCAGATGCCAAATAATTGTCATCTAGAATGATTTCAGCTTTTAGATACCAAAGCTGTGCAAAAAGAGTTCATGTAGTAAACATCTATACCAAAGGGGACCACAGTTGCATATATTGCTGTACAGGCAGACTGTAGATGTTGGTTTTGCTTTAAGCATATTGTTAAAGTGATAGTCTTATTTAATTTATCTGAGATTTAACCCCTGTCTTACAGATTTAAAGACTTTTGGTACATCTCCAAGTCATTCAGCCAGTTTCTTACCTGAAGCATGGTAAAATGTACTCCCAAGTAAAAGATTTATTCTACATTTGTTCTAATGGGTAATCAGTAGTGAGTTCTAACTTGTTCTAATGGGTAATGTATGTGAGTTGT